GGTGTGCAGATTTTTGTTTAGCATTGTATTAACTATCCACATACTTCAGGTGGAAGGGTTTTCAATCACAATTTTTCCCCACCATAACCTATTTAGATTTTGCTTCCCAAGCACTACCAAGCCTCAATTAGCAAACCAGTAACCAACCTCATGCTGAAGAGTTGCATTAACAACGAAACAGCTGTCCATGAGTGGTTCACTGGTTTTGCATCTTATCCTAAATTGTGTTCCAAGCAGTTGTATACTGCAAACACAAATTAAAAGGAATCCATGTTTAAAATGGAATGAGGCAAAAATGTGATTCTTTGTTAAACTAATTTGCATATGCCCACCCAGAATCCTTTGCGGTTGTAACATCACTGCTGATTTGGGATTTCTGTGGGAAAAGCAAGTCTTATGGCTTGACTGGTGTGCAGATTTTTGTTTAGCATTGTATTAACTATATATATATATATACATATATATATATATATACTTAGATCATATATATATATATATATATATATATATATATATATATTCTAAGTATTTTTACACTAATAAATTTTATTTTCAGCCAGCAGGGGGACCACCTGTCATTACAGGCAGCCCCCCTGCTGGCAATGCAGGAGGCAGCCTACCCGGCCATGTGATTGTGGGGTCCTCGCTAGGACCCCACTCTCACATGGCCGGGGGTCACTGGAGGAGAAGGATCTGCCGCAGGGGGGGCTTCCTGGGAGTCCCCCCCCCCCCACCGCGATCGCCGGCATGGCCGGTTAAGTTAACAAAAACCGGATGGCGTACAATTACGCCCGGCGGCGTTTAGAGCCGCCTAAAATAGGGCGTAATTGTACGTCCTCCGGTCTAAAGGGGTTAAAGGGACTGCTCAAACCTCCAACAAAAAAATTTAAATCACTGTTTAGTAGATATATTCAGAATGTAAACATTCAAGCATGCATTCAGTTATGGGGTATATCTAAAGCAAAAGCTGCAGATCTCTTGTGTGAAGCCTTTACAAGCCCTACCCTTCTTCTCAACCCCATACTTCCCGTTGCTGTCCAATTGCAGACTTCTCAATTAGTTCAAATTCATGAGCTCTGGGCAAGGCAGGTGCTCTGGCCTTTTGAGTTTGGATCACCTTGTTAACCTGCTATCCTTATTTGCTCATACCACAACATGTGATCCTTGCACCTGCAACGTTATGCTAAATAAACCCACTAGAGTAGTGTGTATGTGCATATTAAAATGTACCAATTGGGTTATGATGGATTTGTTTTTACGCAGAAATAGGTCTCTGGAGCTAAATTTAACGATGTGAACAACACTTTCTGCCCAACAAATAGCAACATCAATGAAGGAAAACTCTCAGAATAGGTTTCAAAATATTCAATAAATATGACATTTTTCTTCATTATGATGTAGATATATCTAAGACTTCTCTACGTCTTCACAAAAACATAGAACACACATCAATTTCTACAATAAAAAAACACTAAAAATAGCATAATACAGTAAGGTATAAACTTCAGGATAAAATTTGATAGTGCACTCACAAACACAGATTGATAGTAGGCCTTAAACTCCTCAAATACAGGACTCCTCTCTCCCCACATATATGGTTTGGATGTGAGAACAAGGAAGAGAGAAAAGTGTACACATAGAGTAGATCCTAAGTTGTTAAAAAATACTTAATGTATTGATTGCACTTACAAGAACTAAAAGCAAATGAGCATATCACCATATCCGCTGGATCTCCACCCAGAAAGAGTATCATTGGGTTGGAGCAGCTATAAACAATTAAAATATAAAACTATATACTGGTAATTAAATTATAGCCCTATGTATTTCTTCCATTTGCAGCAGCAAAAAAGCAACATGCAGTTAATCACAAATCTTCACAGTGTAAACAAATTGTTTAAATATCCCATTTAAACCCTCCCTCTGGGTGCCATACGCCAATCCCAGAGAAAGCTGTAATCCTACTCAAATTTGTGATTGACAACTGCACATTGATTTTTTTACTGCCTCTAAGGAAGTCCATGCAAATGGATGAAAGGCTTAGGGCTATAATTTAATTACCAATATTTTATTGTTTTATATTGTAATTGTTTATAGCTGCTCCTACCCCGTCGACAATCTTTCTGTGTGGCGATACAGGGGATATGGTGATATGCTCATTTGCTTTTAAATCTTGTATGTGCAATCAATAAATGTAGTATTTTTTTTTTAACTTGTTACGATCTACTCTGTGTCCATTTTTCTCTCCCCCACATTTATGGTTTGAATGTGAGAACAAGGAAAAGAGAGTCATGTATTTGAGGAGCTTAAGGCCTAATACCAATTTGTGTTTGTGAGTGCAATATAGAATTTTATCCTGAAGCTTAAACTTGACTGTTTAACCCCTTAAGGACAGGACTGTTTTTGCGATGTACAAAGAGACCAGGCCTCTTTTGACAATTTTGTGGTGTTTGTGTTTAGCTGTAATTTTCCACTCTCTCATTTACTGTTCCCATACAAATTATATATCATTTTTTCAGGACAAAAAGGGCTTTCTTAACATACTATTATTTATATAATCTCATGTAATTTAATTTAAAAAAAATAAAAAATATGATGATTGAAAAAACAAAAAAACATGTTTTTTTGACTTACTTGAAAAATCTTTTACTCATCTACAAAAGCTAATGAAAAAAACTGCTAAATAGATTCAAAATTTTGTCCTGAGTTTTAAAAGTAATAGGGCTATAAGTACAAGTAGGACATTGCGGTTTCAAAACATACTTTTTTTTTAAAAATTTATCGATAGTGACAATGTAACATTATTATCTGTCATAAATCTCTGAATAACACCGCACATGTACATTTTTTTTTTAAAGTAGACAACCCAGGGTATTCAAGATGGGATATGTCCAGTCTTTTTTAGTAGCCACTTAGTCACAAACACTGGCTAAAGTTAGCGTTCATATTTGTTTGTGTGTGAAAAAAGGAAAAACCTAAATTGAATGCTAATTTTGGCCAGTGTTTGTGACTAAGTGGCTACTAAAAAAGACTGGACATACCCCATTTGCAATACCTTGGGTTGTCTTCTTTTGCAAATGGTATGCCATCATGGGGGTAATTCTCATTCCCGGGCTTCCATACGCTCTCAAAGGCAACGTAACCAACTGGCAATTTTCAATGTAAAAATATTTGACCCATATATTTGACCCTGTAACTTTCAAAAACGCTATAAAACCTGTACATGGGGGGGTACTGTTATACTTGGGAGACTTTGCTGAACACAAATATTAGTGTTTCAAAACAGGAAAATGTATCACAACAATCAGTAAAAGTGCTGTTTGTGTGTTAAAAATGCAAAAAAAGTAACTTTCAATGACAATATCATCACTGTGATAAGTTTTACTGTTTTGAATCACTAATATTTGTGTTCAGCGAAGTCTCCTGAGTAAAACAGTACCCCCATGTACAGGTTTTACGGTGTCATAAAAAGTTACAGGGTAAAATACAGTGCTAGTAAACTAAATTCTCTGGACTTTCGGCCTGGGTTGTCAGGCAGGTCCCTCAAATTGCAATCAATAAAACTACTTAATTATGTAAAAATATTACATAAATACACACGTCAAATTTAAATATATATGCATATTCCTATATTTGAAGTCTACATGTGTATATATATATATATATATAATTATTTATGCAATTTTGTGTGGGGATATTTATGGCATGATAATATTATACAGTTGAGAATTGCACACTATTTCAATTCTCTTAGATCTTAGAGATCGTCATCAGGTAAGTGAAATGTATTCCATACAAATAAAATCACAATTTGTTATAAAAATAGATATAATTTATTGTGACAAATAAAATAATATTAGGCAGCATGCATGATAACAATCAGTGAATGTTTAGTAGGGTTTTTAGAATTGGAACTCAACTGCAGCTTGTAGAACTCCTTAATTACAATAGTGAAGAAACGGAGAATCTTTAAATGATCAATACTGTAGCTTTAAGAAAAGAGAGGATTGCTGGCAATTAGAGAATCAAACGAAGTTTTAATGATGATGATAAACTTTAGTGAAAAGCATATAGGTAATAATTCAATAAGAAGAAATTGCTGTTTTTTAGCAAACAATACAAAGTTCATCAATGAGTATTTCCTCAGAGATGTATTGAATAATATTATTTAGGTTGATAGGAATAATCTTCAATATAAATAGAGCAGAGAATATTTGCAAAGCAAGAAACAGTTCATAGTGGTTAAGCTTGATGGGAGTTATCCTCAATATAATTAGTGTGTATGCAGCAGAGAGGATTTGAGTAATCAAGAAACAGTTAATTAATAACTGAGATTCCAGATAATAATAAATTGGAAGTTATACTTAAGATTAATGTGAGTTGTCCTCCAAGAGATCAGTATTAGAGTCCACTTGTTAAATGGTAAAGTGTCCGTTCTCCAGTAATCCTGTAGCGGATGAAGCATAATCCTTTTATCTTCAAAGGTTTAGGAAGGCTTGAGAGAGAAGCTTGTGGAGCCGGCGTCTATACCCGGAAGTAGGTCCCACAATCATCAAGCACTTTCTCTCTGGCGCGGTCTCTCTAAGTAGTGTCAGAAAACCGCGTCAGAAGGGGGCGGGGCCGGCTCCGCATAGCGGGAATGCCGAACCCGGAAGAGATACCGCATGACAAACATACCGTATATACTCAAGTATAAGACGAGTTTTTCGGCACATTTTTTGTGCTGAAAAAACCCTCTCGTCTTATACTCTAGCCACGGTCTGTATTATGGCAACTTACATTGCCATAATACAGACCAGGACCACCGGGCTCATTACAAGCACCTTGCACATGCTGGAGAGACTGTGCGAGCAGCAGCAGCCGATAGTGGAGTTTCAGCTGCAGCACGCACGGGTCAGTCGCTCTGCACCAGACTTGCCCTCCAATTGATCAGAGTTAAAGGATTTCAAGTGGACTCATTACAATTACAGGGCCTCTAAAGAGTCCTGTATTGTTATTTGCCGTCACTACCTTCCCGCTTCAGGAGTGCGTCATTTGCGCGCCCGCTGCCTTCCTTGCATGTGGTAGCCATTTCTCAGACGGCTTCTCCGGGATTCAAACTGATTCCACGTTACCCATGGTCACCATGATAGGCGCAGAAAGTGGCATCGAAAGTTGATATGGATGACATACGAATGCGTCGTCTCCTTGTCGTTGGGGAGCCCATTGAAAAAGTGCTCTAGCATGACAAGCTGGTTGATCTCCTCCGGGAACTTGGCTTGATAGGAGTTGACCAGTTCTGGGTGGCCCTTGTGATGCGGTATGCCCACTCCGGCGGTATTGCTCGGGGTGACCGCATACCGGGCCAAGAGGATTTGGGTAATAAAGGGATAGTCTCTGATCTGCTCTTCTGGAACAGCCGGGTAACATCCTGGCCAGCTGCATTCCCCACAAGTTTGCTGGCCAGGATGGTGACCCATTCTTGGAGTAGGCACTGGCGCTCAAAGTCTTGTAAAAAGTCATCTTTGAAGGCATTGTCTGGTAGCTTGTGAGGCAGGGTGGTTGTGCTTCCCGGCGCCCTCTGCTCCCTTCTTCCTTCATCTGGGTTCATGGAGGTCGCCCTCTCTATTGGCAAGGACATAGGCTTGCACCTCCAAAAAGGTCCTGCTGACAATCTCTTCTGAGGGTGGCTCTCGGTAATATGCCAGGCACCATTACACCTCCTTGCACACTTCCTCCTCATCTCCTGCCCCTGGCTGGGGTTCATTTCCTGGTCATCCTCCATGAGCGCAGCAGTCAATTCGGCCTTGTTACGCCCACCAGACGTTATTCCTCTGGCTCCACACAAGTCCTGCAGTTTAGGTCGCTTTAGAGCACTGTAGTCCATGGGTCTGTTGGTAGGACATGGGATCCCTCCTCTTGCCACCAATTGAAGCGGGACCTGGGTAACCGATGGTTATCCCCTTTGATTAGAATATATCAAACCCATTTCCCCAGTAACCGGATGGGACACAGTTCCAGGATACGTTTGACGATCTTTATTTGGGTACACAGCTTTGCCTCCTGTTGCCTCCTCCTCCTACTCAGCTTCCTCCCCCTCTACCACCTCCTCTTCCGGTCAGCGTAACACCTTCGCCACCAACTTCAGCACAGCCAGGGAGGAAACGACAGCAGGCTGTTTTAAAACTCATATTTGGGTGAAAAACCCACGCCGCGCAGGAGCTGTGGACAGGCATGGAACAGACCGATGAGTGGTTGTTGCCCCTGAGCCTCAAGCCCGGCGGTGTGCGATAATGGGCTAAATCTCGTAGCAGCTCTGGGCCTCGCCGGTTTGATGCACATCCCTTGCCTGGCGCAGAAATTCCTGAAAAACGACCCAGATATATCAGAGCTGCTGCAGAAAGTGCGGGCCGTCTGTGCGCGCTTTTGGTGTTCTCACCCTGCTGCTGGCGTGTCTGTGCTGCAGTGTAACTTCGGCCTTCCCGCTCACCGCCTCATGAGACTGTGCGAGCAGCAGCAGGTGATAGTGGAGTTTCAGCTGCAGCAGGCACAGGTCAGTCGCTCAGAGTTTTCTTTTTTTATATGTCCCAATATTTTGGGAGCTACCCCAATTAAAATAAATAAATAAATAAAATTATATAAAAATAAAAATAAAAAAATAAACAGTGTTGGCTTCCTCCTTCTCCGCTGCTTCCACCTACACCGCCACGGTCACCGCCTCCTCATCCTATGGGTCACTTAGTATAAACTATGTACACAATAGCAGAGGCTTGTGAAGGCCTTTTCTCCATGCATCAGGAGTTGAGCTCAGTTTGAATAATGAAAGATAACACCCTGCACTCCAATCCTCTCTCAAATGGATCATTCTGGTGATCCTTCTGACAGCCATGCTTTAGATTTTGATTTATGTTCTTCCAAAGCTAAAATCAAAGATTCCATCTAGTGCTATTTTATGGCTCAGCTGTATTTTTAATGATGTTATTTTAAGTGATTTCCCTATCCACATTTGTTTGCAGGGCACTTGTCCTACTCTTACCCCCATTTTACTTCCTTTTGCAGCCCTCTAGCCCTTTCCAGGACTTTTTTAGAGGCATTTTTGTGCCCAAATGTTCGGGTCCCCATTGACTTCAATGGGGTTCGGGGTCAAGTTCGAACATCCAGGTGTCCGCTCAACTCTACCCCTGACCAAGTTTCCTTAAAACTGTTCATAGTGGGGGGCGTGGCCTGGATACCGACGGGAGCAGCCGCATGTAACCGAAGCTCCGCGCCAGAAGGCCTAAATTGAGCAATTGCAACAGCAGAAAGGGCAGTAAACACCCACAAACGGCATAATGTCTCACCCCAAGACCAAGCGGCAGGCAGAGAAAGCGGACAAGTCGTAGTTTTTTGCTCCTAAACAAGCCGCGCCGCGAGATTCTGCTCTGCCGGCGGGGATCCAAGATGGCGCCGAGGAGAGTGGTGAGGAAACCCAGAGCGCGCCCACTGATCAGGGGCCTCTGACACAGGCGATAATGCAGCGCATGCTAGACGGGATGTCGCTGAAAATCATGCACAGTGTGCAGTCTTCCATAGGCGACTTGCGCAAAGACCTGGTGGATCTCGGCTCCAGAACCTCTCAATTAGAGGAAAAATTAACCACAGCAGAAGAAGCACATAATGAGATGGCGGACCGGCTGCAGCAAATGGAGGAACGCCTCACAGCTCAAGAGATAAAACTGGCGGATATAGAGGATAGAAGCCGCCGAAATAATTTGCGACTGCGGGGGGTGGCAGAAACGGTGAGCATATCTGACCTGCCAGCACATGTTACAGCTTACCTCAAGGCACTGGTGCCAGACATTCCACAGGACATGCTCCTCTTCGACCGTATACACAGGACGGCGAGACCGAAGTTCCTGCCCCAAGATGCACCCAGGGACATACTGGTGCGTATGCACTATTATCACACCAAAGAAGCTGTCCTAAGGGGCAGTAGAACGCGCCAAGATCTACCGGAGCAGTACAGAAGCATCATGATTTTTGCGGATGTCTCAGCGTTCACCCTTCAGAGAAGAAGAGAATTCCAGGGCATCACGGCAGTGCTCAGAGAACAACGCTTATTATACCGGTGGGGATACCCAGTCAAGCTGCTGGTTCAAAGGGCAGGAAAGACCACAGTAATCTCAACTCCGGAGGAAGGGACAGATATCCTGAGAGAATGGGGAATGGAGAGTGAACACCAGCAAAATCGGTCCAAAGAGCTAAGAAGGATAACACCGGGATGGAAAAGAGCGAAACGCATGTAGACTGTACAATCGTGCGGCCTGAGAGGGCCCAAAGCCACAGACTTTGCCGAGCCGCAAGTACCAAAATGTGCAAATGTTTATGTTAATGTGATGACTGATACCCAAAGATACACACATAGCTAGCTACATCCCTAGTAATCGTAGGTAGTGTGAGTGTGACATCAGGGTGTAGTAATAAGCGTGAACCATGTGTAGTGGAAGGATTGAGATCCCTCAGAGGTAACTACGCCACACTATGTCATCCAGAATAGGGGTCACATAAAATATCACAGGAGAGATATTATTAAAAAAAAAAAAAAAAAAAAATCGTTAAGACACGTACTGCCATAGACAAAAGGCCTGCGCGGAGCGCAAGAAACCTCCCAGGCAAAGGAGCGACTAGCTTCTACCCCCAAGGCACTTGGATGAAGTGCCAAGCAACACAAAGGGCATGGTCCTACTCTGTAAATACTTTGGTTGTTGTTTGGTTAATTGGTTATGCTAAGGTGCTCGGCGGGAGAAGGCCTGTTGCCAACACCGCTGGGGGATGGGTTGGGGACCAGGTGGGTGGTCTCACTCCCAACATCCAAGATAAGGTATATGCTGTCACCTATGGGAAGTCGATACAGATCCTAGGGGTGGCCTCGCTCCGCTTGATGGCACTGGGAGGAGCGGGACACCCCACAACCAACAAACACTCGCAATACTCAGCACAACCCTACATGTCTGACCCTACATGAAAATATATACACACAATGTGAGGGGATTGAATATCCCGGCGAAACGACACTTGCTATACCGAGAGCTTAAGAAACATTGCGCAGAAGTGGTGTGCTTGCAGGAGACCCATTTCCGTACTGGGGATCACCCCCAGATTATGGAATCGGAGTATCCACACCAATTCCATTCCACTTCCCCAACCAAAGCTAAAGGCACTTCCATATTAATAAGTAGACATGTCTCCTTCTCCCTGAGATCACAGCATATAGACCAACTGGGCAGATATGTAGTGATAGTAGGAACGATCAATGACATAGAGTACACCATCGCGAATATCTATGCACCCAATCAAAACCAGAGGAACTTCTTACACAAAATTTTTCAAACCCTAGCACCCATACAACAGGGTATAACTCTTGTTTGCGGAGACTTCAACCACGTTCTTGACCCGTCCGTGGATTCCACTATACACAGGGCTGGTAGCAGATATAAAACCCTTAGACGTCAGGGCAAAGCCCTTCAGTCCCTACTACACACATACCACTACTACGATACTTGGAGGATCACGCATCCCTCAGAGAGGACGTATACGCACTTCTCACCTGTTCATAATTCGTACTCTAGAATAGATGGTTTCCTCCTCCAGGGATCCCACCTCAACCAAATCCTACGTTGTGACATAGCAAACATTACATGGTCAGACCATGCGCCGGTACTTCTGCAGGTGAAAGACATGTATGACTTCAAACACCGCAGCCCATGGAGAATCAATGATTCTCTTCTTTTAAATCCACAGTTTGTGGCCGACTTGACCACGGACATGAAACGGTATTTTGCGGAAAATGAGACGCCCGAGGTGTCGGCCACAACGGTCTGGATGGCACACAAACCGGTAATACGAGGCTTATTAATACGATGGGCCTCCTACCTCAGAAAACAGACACAAAAACTAACACTAGAGCTACAAAAGGAACTCTATGACTTAAATCTGGTGAATCAACTCTCCCCCACAGATGACAAACGTAGGAGAATACTACAAATCACTAGACGCCTGCATACGCAAGCCCTAGAACGCACAGAATATAACTTAAACCGCCTAAAGATACAACAATATAATCAGGGCAACAAAGCTAGCAAATTATTAGTGAGTAGACTTAAGACGAGGCAAGCTGCACAAAAGATAGCCTACATCACTTCGCACACGGGCAAGAAATTGACCACCCCAAAGGACATTAGCGATGAATTCGCACAGTATTACGAGAAACTGTATA